GAGGCTAAACTCTGTTTTGAAATTGCCGATTTTTGTGGCTTTAAGTGATTTCTTGTCTCGCTATACTTTTCGCAAATCTTATGCGAGTCTTATTATTAGAGTTTCTGCAATCTGAATCTTTGTGATGCGGGGACCCCCCTCAGTTGACACTCCGCCGAAGGAAAGGTGGAAAATAAAACCCACATGAAAATAAAAAAAACAACAATTAATAAAATGATATGTACACAAGTTCGTTTTATTTCCGAATAATATAACAAAAACAAAAACATAAATGATACGACACGAACGAACAGAATTACGAAGCAAGAGCAAAGAACATATGTACTATAACTTAGTATGTTGTAGGAAATCAAATGCATACGCAAATTAAATTCAACTTGAGAAAAACATACACATACTTAAGTAGAGTGCTTCAAATAATATTGCTTGTAAGTTTAAATCTAAAATATCTAGCAAGTATAGGTTGAGTATTATGTTTCCCTTAACAAGTTCGTTGTTCGGTTTTTCTTTTTTTTTTTTTTGCTTCTGAAGGCTAAGTCGCTCACTTCCTTGAGAATTAAACAAAAAACTATAAAAAAGTAATAATAAATAGAGACAATCAACAAGTAGCTTAGATGGAATAACATTTATTTTCGAAGAACTGGCAGGCTGTCGGTTCAGCTCGGGCAAAAGAAAGAGAGAGAATCTGATGGGAGCGGACAGGGGTGGGGAAGTGTGCGGATCTGAGTAGAAGAAGTTGTATTTAAAAACGATTTTGAAAGTCCAAATGTTCTGCTTGCTGCTTTGCTTCATTGCTTATTGCTGTTAGATTCTGTTTTGCGAAATGAGTTCGATTTCATGTTAATTATCATGCTTATATATTACAATACTTAAGTACTTGTCTCGTACTTGTTTTCGTAACGAAATCGAAATCGTAATCGTAATCGTAGTAAATATTGCGGCCAAAACTTTGAAAAATAAAGTTTCGCGTGGAAAAATCTTATTACTTGGTGTTTTGTAATCGGTACGTTAAAATTATTCTTTAGATATTTTACAATTGCTTTTAGTTGAGTTTAATTTATCATATGCATTCTTTCACTTTCAATAAATTGTTCACATATAGATGATAATTAATGTTCTATAGATATATGTATATATAGCTGTATATGCATATGTATATATACGTATATACATATAATATATAATGGCTTATCTACCACACATATCCATCGCTATACTCGTAGCACTAACAACTAATGGCAATATCCTTGTAATATGCATAGCATTGCAATTCATTCCATTCGACTTGTACGAGTATTGTTCAATAAATATAATTTGCTATTTAATTTACTGCTGTTGTTTTTTATTTCGTATTTTGTATTTTTTGTTTCTTTGTATTCATATTTGTATTTAAGTTTAATTAAATTATTTGTTTTCATTACTTAGCTAAAAAAAAAAACACATGTTTGTTTGTTCGTTAGGCTAGATTTTTTGTTTTTATTTGTTTTCCTGTTCGCTTAGCTAGTTTTTAACTTTAAATCTAGCTGGCTATAAGCTGTTGAAAAAAAAACGCTAAAATTACGTGTTATTGTTATAATTATTGTTTTTCTATTGAGTTTTATAATTATCGACCTAAAGTTACGTTTCTGCATTAATCTATATATCTATATCTATACTTATATATAGATATAGATATCGATTTAGATATATATAGATATATATAATCCCTTGCCTAAGATCTAATGCGTCTTTGAGTACAAGTATGTTGTCGTGAGAAAGTAAATACAAAAGGATTTTCTTCTTCGCGCGCCTTCGCCATCGCCATCGCCTCCTTCTTATTCCTATTTATTTCAATATTTACGAGTATGTAGTTTGTATGCATGTATGTACTTGTATGTATGAATGTGTAGTATGCTTGTTTCAATTCCCGACTTCGGATAATTCATTTTAGCCAAGTTATGAGTACCACCGAGCCGGGAGCATTACGCTGAGAGAGATAGACAAATTCCTTTCCAAATCCTTCCGATACGTAATATGATGTATAAGCTATGGATCATCTTACTAGATATACATATTTATATAATGTGTATGTGTGTGTGTGTATGTATGTATGTGTGTGTGTGTGGGTATATTTTCAATGATTAGCACCTCCAATTGGCATTGCAACTATGAGGATCCTTGGGACCGAAAAACTGGGAACCTGGACTCGACTATGGAAACGGCAAGCAATTACAGTTCAGTTAGTCTTGTGCTATATACTATATACACATTGGTATGTTTGCATTTATGTTTGTATGTATATTTCATCTATAAGTGGTTATGTATTGTATTGAATCATTATAGTATGTATATTTATTTAATTGGCAGTGTCTTTTAGTTGTTAGTTCTGCATATTAATTGCATGTTAGATCTGATGAAAAATTGCTCAGTCATACGGTCATCAATATTTGTTGTGCTTTGGGTTCTTCAACTCAAATCAAATAACATATGGAGAGAAAAAGAAAACAAGAGGGAAGTACTCGCGCGCGAGTGCGGGAGAGGGAGGCAGAATCTGCAGAATGTTCAAATGAAAAACGTTTGAGGCGTTGACTTGCTTGGTCCATTTCATTTAGCTAGACATAAATATATAAGTAGGTACCATCTGGAAACTAATAGGCCCATGAGTCTTCAACTAAGCTAAATAGAAACCCAATCACTAGATGATTGCGATTGCTTGAACAAAATGGTTAGTCTTGGTCACAGTTCCTCTTAAAATTTGTATTTTCGATTGCGACTGCACGGGCCCTCAACATAAACCTATAACATGCCTTCGGCAAGGCATCTTCTAAGTGCGCTTCAAAAAGTCTTCTGGACGGATATTACAATTTGTAGCACATTGTTAAGTCAATTCGATGTCTATGTACGTGTGTGTAAGTATTCATTAACTTTTTCTTGCCGCTTCACCTTTTTTTTTTTAAATAGGTGACCGAAATAGGAATCCAACTACGGTATAGCCAAAAGTTTAGCTTAGCTCTGACCACTGCTATTTATCGATTTTTAACAAATGACTATGCACAAATGGATCGAACATATGGACACACATGTCTTATATGTGTTCAGCATTTTGGAAGTACAATACATGCTCTAAGTCCTTGTAGTAGCTCATAGCAACAACTTGCGTGGAATTACATTGAAATTCGAGAGGTATTTTCAATAAACATATGCGTATCAAGATACTTTTAGAAGGAATTACAATTTAGCTTCGATACTATTAGATGGGCTGAAAGCAACCCACGAAGAAAGAAATGCAAAGTTTTAAGCAATATACTTGACAATGATAATGGAGTTAAATTAATTTTCTTGATATTTCCATAGATCTCGGAAAATGTGCTCCAATACTTAATGCCTAATGAAGAGGTCAGTTCAATATTTCTATATAGAGGAGAATTATGTAGATTTGTTCCATATATATTCGAGATAAAACATGAAGATCATTAATAGAGTTCTTTTCGTCACACCTAATTGTTTTAATTGAAATCTATACCGCAATTTTTTGTTGACCTTCTCATAGCTGCAATGCCCACCAAACAAAAAAGAACAGAAAATTCCAAAAACATTTAATATTAATTATAGTATGATAATAGAAATGTTGCTTTCGTATTGTGCCATTTACATATGTATGTATGCTGCTGTACACACCATGATTATAGGTAGTTGTGATTTAATTATCTGTTCAATTAGTTTCGGCATGCAATCAATCAATCATCTATGATTGTAGTGTGGTATGATTATGTTGATTAGCGCTACAATTACGAGTTAATTAATTTTCCATCTCTGATTTAATGTTACTTCTTTTTTTTTGGCATAATAATAACAGCAATTGGAATAATAATTTGTATGGAATTTTCAACTCATGCTTGCTGCTAATTGGAAACATTTCTGATTTTAGTTTGTTTTTATGAGCATGTATGTATGTGTGTGTGTGTGTGTGTGTGTGTGTGAGTGTGTTTTCGTTACATAATAATGAGGGCTATAGTACTTTCGACTTATTTTATTTATGCAATTATGTATGACATTCTTTATTTAAAGGTATGCGTATCATATTTGGTTTGAATTGATGCTTGAGTTTTATTTAATTTTTTCTTTGTTTGCTGTTTTTTTTTTTTTTGTTTTGTTTTGTTTCTTTAATTTCATTCATTTTTACTGAACTTTAATTGATATTCGCTGATATTTGTTGTTGTTTACTGTTTGTTTGTTTGTTCTTTGTCGCTTATTTGTTGTATGTTTTTGGTTTTCTTTTTGGTTGTTCTTGTGTATAAAATTTGTTTTATTTCCTTGGTTGCATTTCTCGATCTCATCAGCTCCTTCTTTAGAGGGTAATACAAATGCTTAGAGTTACAAAAAAAAAACATTTACATATCTACGTATATATATATATATATATGTATACATGTACACATAAGTACATATACATATATACATACATATTAATGTACATATGTATATAGAATTATTTGTATGCTTTGCTTAGATAACCTACATTTGAATACATGAACACTTCAAGATATCATTTTCTTTATTTTAAGTAATTTAATTTAATTGAGTTTAATTAAATTAATTAGTTAATTAAATATTCTGTAATTTTTTGGTTTTTTTTTTCTCTTCTGTTCTGCTTCTTCTTCTTCTTCTACTGTCGCCTGTGTTCGTTACAATGGCAAGCTTTGCGATTTTCTTATTCTTGCTATAGTTATCATTTAATTAATTTCGCTTGCAACAGTTTCAGGCGTTGCTGGTGTTGTGGCTGCCATTGCTCCTACTGTCGCTGTTGCTGTTTTTGTTGTTGTCGTTTTGTTGTTCTTCTTCTTCGTCTTCGTCTTCCTCTTCTTCGTCGTCGTCGTCGTCATCGTCGTGTTGTTGTTGTAATACAGAAATGCAATTCTACGCGGGCGTCGTCTCAACTTTGTTGGTGTTTGGTTTATTCGCTGCATGACAAGCAAAGTGCGGGGCCGTGTGTGCGTGTGTGTGTGTGTGTGTGTGTGTGCTGCTGGCGGCTACGGGGCGTATGAATGCCGTGAAAAGTGCCTGCTATGTATGAGAATGTGGGCGTGTGTGTGGGCGTAGGTGTGTGTTTACGTGCTTTTTGCTGCTCTCAAGCTAAAATGAACATCAGAGCAAGCGTATAGTATGTGTTTATTTATTCTCATTGCTGCGAGAGTGTCTTGGAGAAATAGATAGAGTTGACAATTAAGCAACTTTCTGGGCTTTTGTCATTGTCTTGTTGTTCTTGTTGTTCTTGTTCTTGTTCTTGTGGTTGTTGATGATGTTTTTTCACACACTTTGTTCTTGTCCTTACGCAACTACAATTATTGATACTTTATTTAGACTTTAATCTAGGCGACACTCATAGTGACGCAGGCGCCACGTGCGTCCGTCTGATGTGTCTGGTTGCAGCGCGTCCAATGAAGTCGCTTCGGGGGGCTCCTCATCCTCTAGCGTTCCTGGGAACCTAGGGCTGATCTCTCTCTCTCTCTCCGGCCTAAGCTGGAACATTGACGTCTGCGGCGCAGCTTCTCACATGCTGCGCTTGCTGCTGCTGCTGCTGTTGTTGTTGTTGTTGTTCATCGTATGTTGTTGCTTTGTTCGTTGTTAGTTGTTTCGTTTCCTTTCGCTTCGTTACTTTAATTTTTGGACTCTAGTTGCTTACATCCGCTTACATTAGTTATGTTCGTTGTTGTTGTTGTTGTTTTTGTTGTTCTTCCTTAATCGATTAACGTTTTTAGCTATCGTGCTTGTTGTTGGTGTTGTTGTTGTTGCTGTTGCTGCTCCTGACACTTTCTTTCAAAATTGATGGCTTTATTAGTGACTGAAATGATTTCGATGTAGTAGCATTGACGATACTTTTTTTGGTTGTATTTGTAAGATACGTTTTTTAACTTTTATTTTAGTTTGTTTATGAAGCTGTTGTATGCGGCTGCTGCAGTTTTATTGTTGTACTTGTTGTTCTTGTTGTGTATTTTATTTATATAGAGACGACAAATTGCATTTTGTATTGTTTCTAATACTCCCAATATCATGCATCCTGTATTTCACCTTTTAATCCAGGCACCCTGTGGTGTTGGTTATGACCTAAACGATTTGCTAAATCCTGTACAACATCACGAAATATGACCGTATCTATATTTTCACCTAATAAATACAACAAAAACCAATCGCCCATCTTCGAACGACGAACGATTATTTCAATAGCGTCACGACGCACTAACCTGAAATCGAGAAGAACGCACAATGCACATTTTTGATTAATAAATAATGAATAATATATTTGCATTATGAGAAACTTACCTAAATCGCATACGAAATAAGTAGACCCTCATTCGAGGTGAGAATATAATAACCACCCTGTATATTAGCGTTAATAATGTGAGAATCGTTAATAATATAAACCAAAACCAAAGGAAAATATAAATTTTCTCATTAACAACGTTTAATGGTAAAATGCAAATGGCGTCGTGCTTTTCCACCTGTCACAGAAAAAAAAACGAAAGAATTGTACTCCATTATTTTTCTGCTTGTTTATTTGCTTCACTCACCTCCCCACTTGAACCATATTTAAAAAATGTACATTTGGTCATTCTGGGAAATATGTAAATCATAGGATCCATTCGATCTTCCTGATCGGTCTCCATATAATCTATCACATCCAAGCCAAATGTCATAAATTCGCCATCGAAAAATCGATTCATAAGAAACATTTGACCTGAAATAATTGAAAATTGTTATCCATGCTTGTATAATAAACACATTTAAAATTCTAGATGAGATGATATACAAAATATTTGTATAACCATAATGACACAGACAAATAATAAAATGTTGAACATTTAACTCTGCTTTATTGCAATTCTTTTTAAAAGCCAAAATGAAACGAACGTAACGCCTTTCTTTGTGTGCCTCATATACTGGTATATAGTCTCCGATACGATAATTGCATCTAAAATGATATTTCACAAACATATCTGATATAATGAATTACTCGAATTGAATAAACACGTAGATATGCCAAGCAAGTTGTTTGCAATATCATTAATTGTTTACTAATTATTGTTCGTTCTCTTCAAAGAAATGCACGCCAGTACATGCATTGCATTAGTATATACTTTGAACCTTAACAACAGATCGGCCATTAGCATGCATTCATACATGGGATAACATAAACAAATATAGGCTGATCGGACATCCACCGTGAGGCGCGTACTCGGCATTCTAAGGCGTAGAGCTAGCTTGGCTTGTGAGTTGAATTTGGAATATCAAACGACTCGGTACGCGGTCGTTCTGTCCGTCTGTCCGTCTGTTCATCTGTCATTCTATCCGTCCGTATGAGCAACTAGATCTCAGAGACTCGAAATAAGTAATTTTTTCAGTTCCCGTAATATTTGGAAATTTTTGTGCATCAAGAAAAATATATAACCCTTATCTGCCTAGGGCTTAGTAGCAATTGAATACCAAGTTTGGTTATTCCAGCTCTCATACTTTTGGAGATCTTTGCGTTCATCCAGACGGACAGACGGACATGGCTATGTCACTATGTCATACTGATCAAGAATATATATAATTTGAGTGATCTGCTATACCAGGCAGAGAAGAAACCTCATATATAAAGTACATTAACATGTTTAGTATTTCACAGACGTAGAGTATTCCGTATTTATTAGAGTCCCAGCGTAGAGAACAATTTCATTTGAATTCGCTGCAGATGCTTGAATGGCTATACACTTTCCTTCAAAACAGTAACTAAAACTTAATAGTTCCAAGAGCTCCACAGTTTCGAATTGGGATAAAAATACTTTTTAAAGCAAGATAACCATCGCAATGGTCGCCCGAATGATAAAAACAATCCACAAACAAGTGTGGGATCCCAGTCATATTGTGTTAGTGACCTCCTTTGCTTTTGACTGAAAACATAGACTCCTAAACAGATCTCCTTGATATATAGTTTTACCTGATTGCAAAGATTTGCCAATACTATCAAAAGTGTCTTGTAGTCTGGCGTCTATTGAGAGGATTTTCACCATAAACAGGAGGGGGATTGACCTGCTTAAGAATTGAATTAATTCTCCTCTATAATTTGCGGCCTGAAACAGACCAGCCTCATTGGCTGCAACTGAGCTGTGCAGCTAATTGACAATATAACTATCAGGCTGACCCATTTGGGGCTGATGAAGCGCATCGACAAATGCTCCACCATCTAATTAGCCAGTTTGGATGTTTTTCAACGCCTCGTTAGTGCTATTATCGTACGGCTATCTAGCACCCACGTCCCGCTAGGCACAACGCTCCCGACTCGCTTACGTTTGGTGCCACCATGATGTCAGCCATTTTTGCGAGCGGGTCTGGGTTTTTATTGTTGTTTATTTCCCATGTTCTCTGACAGTTCATTATTTTGTCAGATTTTCGAGCTTGTACGCAAGTTGTCCATAAATTAAATCGAAGCAAAGCAAAGCACTGGCGATGCCCACGAATGCAAATGTGGTTGATGTTTATTTTGATGCGGCGGCTACAGTGGCCGCCGTGGTCAGTCGATATAAAAAGTTAGTCATTGGCTTTTCAGCGGAAAAAGGTAAATGAATATTGCGGCGAATGATGTTGTTGCTCGTGGCTGTTGTTGTTTTGATAATGTAAATGCAATTTGTTTATTGAAAAATCGAACAGAAGCCATTTGGGATCGATTCCATCAGATTTTCCAATTGGAAAGGGGACGCTTACTCACCTATCACATTTATTAGAGCGAGCAGCTCACACACGTAATATCTGTACGCCCACCAATTGTGATATCTGCGATTGACAGCGATTTGCGATTGGCATTAGCATGTTTTAATTATTACATCAATCATCTACTCACCTTAAATTTTCCCACAAATAATCTAAAAGTAATTTCTTCTTTTGTTTTTTCTCGGCTTCGGAACAAATTCCTATGTCTAAGTCCATAATGAGCGCATGAATCTTGCCACCCTCCCAAGATTTCCACAGCCATCTTGGTGTATAAAATAATATTGCCTGGAATGATAAGAATAAAGAGGTGATCAGTAATTATGGTTACATGTCGTCTTATCCGCTCAATTTGTCCAAAATCAACCAAAATCTTTGGTACAATCAATGGAAATGGGGAAAAATATGGAGTTATTTTTATCAACGATTGAGCTGACAAATTGGCTTTGCAAAACCAAAAATTGCTCAAAAAAAGTCTACAACTTCGAATAGAGATGATGAACGTGGTTTCTTAAATACGATCCTGAATAAAAGCACCCAAATGTTAGAAAACCCTAATGGAAAGATCATTAGGACACATTCTCTCTATTTGGGTAATTTATATCCATACCCATAAATAACTAATAAATAAATCCACTTACTCGTGGACACATGCATTAAGAAAGCTTGCCCAGTCTTTTGTGGGATTCTAATCAAATTTCGTCTCTATTTGTTATATACTTATATACTCGTACATTGGCAAATATCTACAAAGAATGGCTAGAAAATGGTTATCGTTGTCCGTTATCGAAGAAAATGGCTAAAAACACAACTACAAGCTGGAAAATCCGCTATAAATAGCAAGTAACTCCACTAAAACAGGCTAGAAAGCTCGCTATAAATGCTAAAAATGGGTCGAATATGCTAGAAAGTAGATAATGACTAGAAAATCCACTAAAAATTTATAGAAAAACCGATAGAAAGCTTTAAAAATACCGCTATAAATAGTTATAAGGCCCGTTTAAACAGACAGAGACTGAAATTCGCCGAAATCCTCAAGAAACGGCGACTCTTGAAAATCAAGACCTACCAGGTGGGCATAAATAGAAGAAACAGAAGGCAGATCAACTGGCAACAATTGCGAGTTTACTTAAGAATAGGGATCGTGCAGCCATTTGTTGTGAAATATGACCCATTTGGGAACACCATGTTTGTTTACACGTGCATTCCAGATACATGTACAGTTACCTCAGTTGATTTTTGTTTACATTCGCAATTTCAATTTCGCCAGCTGGTCTACTTGCTGTTCATTTACGTGCGCCTGTTTCGTCACAGAAAAGGTTGCCGAACCAGCATTCCAAACCCTCACATAAGAGGTTTCACATCAAGAAGCTTGAATCAACAAACCTGGTGTAGGGGTTTCCTTTACATACATGGGTTTCAATATGTATGTATTTATCTATACTATTAACTGCTCGGATGTGTACAATATAAGCAAGCCATTCAATTCGTCAAATAACATTCGGAACACACTCTGAAGAGCATAAATAAAGTAAACTATGTATGAGCTCGCATCACATGATATCACAATAATAGCTTAGCATTTTGTTGCAGCAATTCAGAGGACTAAGTTATTTCACTTGACCACAAATAATGGCCACCATATGGTCCACAAAGCCGAGCCGCCTACGTGGTGCGTCTGCAGGATTACCTGCCTCTGGCTGCCTCTGCTGGCTTGCTCGGGTATTGGTATCGTGCCAGACAAACATGAACAGCCATCACACCAGAGGCAGAAAGTAATCACTTTGCACAATCCTCACTAATTTACGATACAAGTTATTAATAATTTGTCATCGGGGCGCGCATAAATTCTACAAGAAATGCGGAAAGTCCAAGCACACACATGCCTACCTACATGCAGATAGATGTATGCCAGACACTTACTATATGTATATGGGTGAGAATTTGTGCGCATAAACCGCAAGTCTGAGCATTTTTGATATGATAATACGGCGTGTTTCTCTAATGGCTCATGGCTAATTGTTTTAATAAAATGTGATGGAGAACAGCAGCAGTAGTGGCATCAGCATCAGCAAGAAATAACAACGGCCTATTTATAGATACCCTTAAGTTTCGTGTCTTGCTCAAAAATTATCAAAACAATTATCTATAGAGAAAAAACAGCGTTTTCATGACAGTACCAAGGACGCACATGGTTGAGCATTTTGTAAAGCGATCTTAAGTAACTAATGCCTTTGGCATTGCTAACTGGAATTATATGCTTTGCGGCTCTCAAACAGCTGGCATATGTCACATGTTCATTAAGATGTCAGATATACTTGTACATACACACATATGTATACAACAATTTCAATGTAAAACAATGTGAAATACCATATATCCCATAAAAAAGTTCATCAGCCCTTCTGTATGCATTACTTGTATACTTGTATACGCGTACATAACGGGCGCAAAAATGGGAAGTACTGATCCAAAATTGAGCTGCTTATATCATTTCTTATGATCAACCGATTTGAATGAATAGAGAGTAGAGAAGGGGGCGAACATATCATAAAAATACGTTCTTGATTAGTTTTGTTAAGATAAATTAATTAAATTAAAATGCTTATGTTTTCAATGTTTTGCAGAAATTGCCAACAAATTTCAATAACTGCGAGAGCTATGGATAAACAGTAATAGCAAATGAGTGTCTTCGGACTTAGGATCCAAATTTAGGTAATTCTAGATATCCATATCAACTATATAAATGAATCGTTATACTAATCAAGACTATATAAACTTTGTGGGATCTGGCATGCGCACTAACCCAATATACCCTGTGGGTAGACGTTATCTCATATTTCCGGAAATTCTTGCATTCATTACGAAAAACGTAAGATTCAATAGAGCTCTTGTTTTCTGTTCACTGGAAAGAATGGTAGGCTTCATATTTATGAAAAGTGCCTCCTAATAATGAATAAAGCATATCTCATGAATTATATGTTATAGTATATGCTCTTTAGCCGGTAGTGTAGAAAATTTTACGGTACCGATAGCTATTCAGCTCTAATCATCTGCAGCTAAACAGTGCAAGGATAAATTATTTTATTGCGAAAGTAGTATGTCTTTTACAGAAGAAAGCGTGCTAGATAGAATATCTATTTTTTTGCACTGGCCGCTAGTAGGACTCTCTCATTCATACGTAGAGCATATTTATAACCTCAACTAGAGGTGGGAAAGTAACGATAGTCAACGATTGTTTTCAAAAAACCATCGATGGTTTCGATAGTATGTTGATTTAAAGGAATGTGTTTAAGAATTCAAGTATAGTTTTAAATTAAATAGCAATCAAAAACTTAACGAACAAACAGTAATATATCTTTGCTATTAATATAGAAAATATGGGTTCATAGACAGAATTATATTCATACTTTTTTATAAGCCATGTGTGCTCATTTAAAAAAAAAAAAACAAAATTATATTTTTCCTTAAGATGAGTCCTCCTGTCTTATACAATTTGCCCAACTTTAGCGAACAAGCGTTATGGTTCTACTAATATTATGGATTGAACATGATTGATTGGAATCTGTTACCACTATTGGATTGGTTATGGATTCGGTTACAGGACTATCCAAGCCAAGATGAAATCTTTTCAAAATGGTCTTAAAAACTTGAAGTGTATCTTTTCTCTTTTATCTTTTCCGCACCCCACTATCGAAAGTGACGATCGCACCATTTACAGTTCTTCAACTCTAGCCTCAATCGATCTGTGAAAAAATCCTACCAAGCATAATTACTTTGTATTATATTGGTAACCACAATCCTTAATAAATAGTCTTCAGTTTCATTGGAATTGCAAAGAATTTATTAACAATCGTTAATAACATTTATTGGAATTTTGTTTTTAATTAGTTTTGCAGTTTAGAGCATAAGGTTTCATGGGAATTTTTCAATCCTTTTATGATGCAATCGATCTGCTTACAAAGAAACTAATTATCCATTATTACAAATTATTTCAGATTTTATTTATTATTTTCCTGATCATGATCTTGTAATTCTTATTATGCTTTATTAGGAGAATTACGGGCTTTTGCTCAATCCATTTCTTATGCAGTTATAGTATTTAGAATTCCCTAAAAGTTTATTATTAACGAGTAGTTCATTGGAGCGTAAGATTTTAGGTTGGAACAACATATTAATTATTGTCAAAATAATCAACATTTTTTTTTAAATTTCCCTTTATTAGTTTCAATATTCATACATTGTTAGGGGGTATATTTCCTTATGGTATTTTCTAATTATTAAAATGCTTCATTGTTTCGAATGCAGTTATGTCTGTAGATTGGATTTTTGTTCGAGTGCCGCAAAACATTCCTTTCACTTCACTTGGACGTCATCATTAGGAACGTGCTTTGCTTTCTGCACACATTTCCTGTATACTCGTACTTGTGTGTCTAAATGATGGTTGTTGCAACAATAATAATTTTGAATACCACATTATACTCGTAGGCATTGTGTGCATTGTCTATTTCCTATGGGTATTTAATGGCCAACATCTGTGGCACATTGTTTCGCTTTGTGACGGCAAATGGCCAAGCTGATTGCCAAATGCACAAAATTAGATGCAATGCCACACGTTTCTGCAGCTGTCCCTACTCCCCGCGACCATTTCCCCGTCAACGAACGTTAGCGAACAGACTGCCACGCCTTGCCGGAAGTCAAATGAAGCGTTTGATTTGCTTTGGTTGCCTCGACATGGCCATTTGCATTTCCCTCTGTAGTTGGTGTGTCCATGTCTCAGCTAGGGTCTCCTCCCAGCCTTTCATACTCGTGCTATACTAGACTTATTCTTTCTCTACTTTCTGTATACAATCACAAAACGCATTGGCCCGACGACAAGAGCAATAAGAACAAGGAGGCACAGCCCCTCGTTGGGTGGGTGGCTGCTTGGCTGGTTGCTTGTCCGCTTGTCCGCTCGTCCGCTCGTCCGCTCGTATGCTTGGCACACACTGCTCCAAAAGGGAGCCGCTTCGTCACATGTGTGTGCGTGTGCGGACAGCAATTTGGCATGCGTTCAAATAGCTCGCAGGCCATGCCCGAATGTGTAGTGCAATTAAGGCGAAGTGAAAACAAAGCGGCAACGGCTGCAGCAACAACAACAGCAACAGCAACAACAGCAGCAGCAAGGGGGCAAGCAACAGTGTTAAGTGAAGCAGTCACAATTGGACACAGTATCAGTAGCTGCTGCTGCTACAGTGGAACATCTGCTGCAGAAAGTTAAGTAAATCGAATTTTGAAATCCACTCGAA